AGATAAGTTACCAGATTTAGTCAATTTTCGATCATCTGACAACAGTGGCCGGAATTTAACTTTACCGTAGTATTCCTGGTTTAGCTTTGTTGCGCGTAGTAAATGCAAATGCGATCGCCAGTGATAGCAAGCGATCGTTCTCTTTACGTTCTGAATTAGTAAATAGAGATGTGCGATATTTAATTAACTGTGATTTTTTCACTTTTTCTGATCAGACTGGCGCACTCTTCTCAATCTTTTCTCCTTATAAAACCCACTTTTTAAAAAATCTCCTTGTAACACCCACAATAACCTTAAACCCTCCACTGAGAACATATTTGAGTATAAATAATACTATTAGAGTTAATAAGATTTACAATAGCAAACTTGCGTAAAAGTTTGCCTTTTATCAAGTTCATTTGAAATGAACAGTATTAAAAGTTTTGTGGTGTTATGTTAGTAAAATTTTGACTTCGTCGGGAAGTTACTATGAAAACAAGCACACGTGCTCATAGCCAATATTAATTATTGTAACTTTAAATTAACAGAATATTCACAAGCAGTTTATCAGTAAAATAAAATTGCATTAATTAAAACAATATGCTCTATGTGTGTATTTTTTAGTCGTTTATAGATTATATATTAAAAATATAGGCACTGTCATAGACATACACTACAAGATAGAGTGATCGTTGCAATACCAGCCCGTTCTCCCAGTGCGACAGAAAACTGACGCAAAGAAATCCATGCATCTTTCTCTAATTTGACAGATTTATCGACCATGTGATCTAAATGACCAATGAGAAGGTCACGTGGTCGATAAACCCGGTCCATTAGACCATTAGAGATGCAAGGGCTGCTTTGCGTCAGTTTTCTCTGTCGCACTGGGAGAATGCGACTGTATTGCAGCCATCGAGCATTGCAGCAGTTAGTCTATCTTGTAATATATGTCTATAGGCACTGTTTTTATGACTGTAGGCACCATAAACATTTATAACACAAATAGATTGATTGTTGCAATACAAACACCAGTGTGATAGATATAACTGACGCAAAGCATTCCCTACATCTCTTTCTAATGCGCCAGATTTATCGACCACGTCACCTCATTGGTCATTTTGGTCAACTGGTCGGTAAAGTTATTCTCTTCTTCTTACGGTGCCTTATCCTTAAGGACGTTGGCCATTACATTTGCCCATTTAATCTTATTTAATCTAAGGTAAAGTTATTAGTATTAATAAAAAGTCCATTCACAGTTTATAATACTAGTGATAGTTAATAGCACAAAGACAACATGTCATCATCATCATCATTGGCTCCATAATCCATAGTGGGTCTTGGCCTGCTCAAGGATAAGTCTCCATTCTCTCCTATTCTTCGCCTTGGCTTTCCAGTTTCGTACTCCCAACATTCTCAAGTCTTCATAACAACATGTAGTAACAGGGAAAGAAAAATTTTTGACCTTACTTAAATACAGAACACATACATAAGTCAAGACCCAGTGGAGATGATATAAAATACAACATAAATAAAATCGTCGGACCCAAAACAAACGAAAAATAATAATTTAATAGAGAATGATCAAAATAGCAAAGTTGGGACATATCTAAAGAAGACAGTTTCAATTAGTAGCAATATAATAATAGGCTCTGTTGGTTAAAGTTTCTGCTGCGTTTGTTATACCTTCGAATATGTATACTTTGTGTATTATTTTTGATTAGATACGGTGTGATTGTATTATGGTTCTGCTATGATCAGGAACGATCTCGTCGACTATTAGTTCTGTATTGATTGATTACCTTGATATTGGCTACTCATTTTGCTTTTTCCAGTGATATACTAGATCTGTATGTTACAAATAGTTATAATTTATTTTTACTGCCAATAAAACCTTGCAATATTTTCATCAAACATATTAATTTTCCAAATTTCCAACTCACAAAATCACCGAACATAACATACAGTAACTCACAGTTTAAATGATGCAGTAGTTACTTCATAAAACTATCTTGTGTCAGTGGCTCAATATTTATTAGAAAAATATTACATACTGAAATTAAATTACTACAAGTCTTTTAAAATAGTATAAGCTATTTTTTGGGTTTTAAATATACCATACTTAAATAACAATACATATTTAAATATTTAATGTATGATTTTAATGTCACAGCTAAAATTATGCAAACTTTAAAACAACAAAATTAATAAAGAAAACAAACTCGACGCATTGAAAAATGATTGCTAATATGTTGTAGGTCCTTCTTTATTATCAATTACAGCCTGTAGTCGTCTAGGTATTGATTCGAACAACTTTCTAGTGTACTCTGTGGAAATTGTCTCCCAAGCTTCAGTACTTTTTACTACTTTCAATTCATTTCTATTTGATATTGGGGCAGTTCTTCTTTAAGTTCAAACTTAAGTTCAAAGCATTCAAACCATTCTTTGAATTTCTTAAGCCACGATATTCTCCGTCTTCCCACATTTCGCTTTCCTCGAATATTACCTTGCATTATAATCTGCAAGATAGAGCTTGAGTATATTTGCCCTCTCATAACATGTCCTAAGTACTCAAGTTTTCTTCTTTTGATAGTCAATATTATTTCAGCTTCATTTCCTATTCTTCCAGTAACTTCTGTGTTTGGCTTTCTTTGAGTCCATGATATTCGTTGTAGAATTCTTCTGTAATACCAAAATTCAAAGGCGGCCAACTTATTCAGATGCACTTGTTTTAATGTCCATACTTCCAAGCCATTGGGGTACTATTTATTTTATTTTTTAATTCAAACACAAATTTTCAATTCAACATTCAAATCTGGTGACTGGGCTGGTGTTTTAATGACATTTCGGCAATTATAAAACAACTAAGTACGAACCCGATATGACGTGTGTTTTCCCTTCAATAAAATGTATGTTACCTACTCCTGCAGATGACATACACGCCCACATTCTTCATTCGGCGTTCTCCACACGGATATTTTTCCATCGGACCTAAACAAGTTTATTTTGGTTTCATCAGCAAATATTAGTGGATCGAAAAGTTCAAATCTTTGTTAAATATGCTCCCTAACCTACACCAATTAATAATAAAACGTTTATTTCTAGTAGTTCGACCATGTAGTTTGTGACGTCCTCTCGTAGGAGTCACTATCCGGGTAGCTTTTTGACAGTCAGAGACAGAGTTCAAAATAAAAATAAAACTTTATTGTCTTCCTTAAATTAAATTGACAAAAATCTTATGTACATATTTACAATTAAGTTTAGTCTTCTCAGTACCTGGCCTATTTATTCAAATTAAGTTTGACCTTGTCGTATGAAATTAGTGTTATCGGCAATCAAGTGTGTTTTCGGAATTTTACGTGAACGATGTGTCGATTTAATAACAGCGGACGATAGGTACAAAGGAAAGAAAGAAACTCAACACGTCCCTCAAGTGATTCGGGTTAATAGGACACTCCTCGACAGTCTCAACACGACTGCTTCGGAGTACGGGTAATGGAGAGCTCAACACGCTCTCCGGATGGCGGTATGGAACGGAAACAACTTGTGAACTCAACACGTCCACAAGCCGGGGTAGGGGAGAAGAGAACCTTCAGTCAACACCTGACGATTCTGCCTCTATGAGGAAATAATGCGGTTTATATAGCAAAGTTTTGCCCTTTCTACTGTCGATACACTCCTACTTCATGGGTTGGTTCGCGCGCACGCTGGTTTAAACGGTGATGGCTTGGACTCATCGTTACAAGTTTATTCTTTCGTAATATCCGTCCAATTGTTTCCGGGTTACATTGCTTTCCAAACTCGTTTCAAAATTTTGATGCACTTTTGTACGATTATTTGCTATTTCTCTGACAATCCATCTTTCCTCACGTTGGGTAAAAATCTTATTTGGAGCCTTGATTTATTTTCAATCCTATATTCATTTCGGTAACGTTCAATAATGCGCTGAACTGGCGATGAACATTTATTTACCCTTTTGGCTTTGGCTATATCCATTTCTATGGTGAGTAATAGTTAAATTTGTTTCACTAATCGTAATTCGGCGACTCATTCTTAAATAATGTTATTTACCAATTAAATACTTTGAAGTGTCAAATTATACATAAAATGAACGCAATATAAATTGAATGCAACGCCTACTTCGAAAATTTCAAATTGATAAGTTGTGTAATGCTTCTCTTATCTGCTTCATTTTAGCTGTAACATAAAAATAATACATAAATAATTAAATATTTATTGTTATTTAAGTATGGTATATTTGAAATCCAAAAAATAGCTTATGCTATTAGAAGACTTATATACCCTGGCAGCTTAAAAGATGGAATCCAAGTTCGCATGATCACTCAATGCAAGCATCGACAGGCGCTCGAAACTAGACCTTCTGAGAAACTGTTTACACCTTCATTATTTGTGTCGTGAAAATATAACTTAAATGTTTTATGTATCATGATTTGTGTTTCACTTCCGCTAGCTGGTGAATTTTGTGAAAATGTTTAAATTTAATGTAAATCAATAAGCTGTAAAAAACGGTATAAATATATTATAGCGAGAGTGTTAGTTCGTTTTTGTTGATCAGTGTAAACGTGGGAAAAGTGATAACATAGGGAGAGGAATATTTAAGAGTGCGTGCCATTCACGTGATCATTCAATCTTTTCAGCGGTTCAACTATTGTAATTTAATTTCAGTATGTAATTTTTTTCCAATAAATATTAGTCGCTGACACGCTAAGTTTTATTAAATAGCGATTGTATCATTTAAGCTGTGAACCACTGTAATAATATTAAAGATATTTATTATAAATGAATCAGTTATCTTAAAAACGATAGAGTAAATTTTTAAACTGCGACTTCTGTATTCTCTTTTTCTTGTAATATATTTTTATTTTTTATACTAATGGAATATTAAATCAGGATAGTAATCATTATCTCCAAACCAAATTTTATTAGTTATGTTACAATATAACGGGAACCAATTTTACATCTCCGGATCCCCATCTCTATACTGAACTTTTAAAAATGCTCCTTGAGAGCCCACGACTACCGTGCTGTGGTAAATTTATTCGCTTCTCGCTCGTGAGCGTTCCGCCTTGAACCGCTAAAACCCGGCGAAACCAGCTGTAACCGGTTAATTCAAAACATATCCGAACATAGCCCGTTCTTTCGTTTGTTTAGTTCATATAATAGCGTTTGAATTGGGAGGCTTTAATGAAATTAAATCAGTGTTATCCTAGTATGATCTTACGTTGACGGCAATAAAAATAGTTAATTTTAGTGTTGGTGGATACAAGTGGATACTCGGAGGTTTATATGATCGGTGCGTTCGATTATTTTGATGGTACAGGAATGGTGGCAGCGATTCCCTTGTTTTTTGATGTCACTAAAAACGAGCATTTACAAAAATATCGTCTATACCAATTTATGGTCGCACAAGATTTTTTACTCAGATGACAAGAAGTATAGCCTCCTAGGGGCTTGCAGCAATTGGAGAGATTTGTACTTTTGTCACGGAAGAACGTCCTTAGCCCTTATTTGAAAGTAATATGGGTGAAAACAATAGTTTTTTCTTGTTAATACACACCATGACAATTACTCAGACTGACTGTGTAGTACAGGCGCAATTTTTTCACACTTTTTCTGGAAACTTGGAGCAAGCAAGACTCGTGGGAAAGAGAATGAGTCTGCGAGTTCATCCTCACTTGAGAAATTCCAGGCACAAAAACTCTTTGCAAAGATTGAATTCGCCGAATTTGCGAACTTTGTTGAAGAAAAATGCCATTAATGTCAAACACCATCTACGGACAGTGCATATGTATGTATTACTGTTCTTTTTTTAATTTTCTTTCCTCTTAAAGTAATTCTTTGGCATAATTTTATTGTTACATGTTAGGTGTTGTATTTACATCTTTTACGCGATATTTAATGACCGTTTTAAAGGTTTATATTTATATAATAATTTTGCTAATTTATAAACAAGTTTGTAGTTTGTATACAATATTGTTATTGTAGCCTAGACTAGACATGTAAGACTATGAAAAGTAAAACGTGGCAACGTTGACCTCAGAGGCGTGTTAAAACATTTAAATTTTTTATCATGACCTTTGTCAATATTACAATTGCATTAATTAATACATTTAACTATTTTTTTTTATTTTTACAATATATAAGTACTATCAATATCCACAATTATTTGTTTTATGACTGTGAAGTGCCTACCTCTATTTTATTAACCCTTAACTGGAGAGACCTTATTTTAATACTACATACAGAGAGACATGCTGTCTGGACTACAATGTAGGAGAGGGGATAAGAACTAAACTTACAAACTTTTTTAATATATTTAATAGTACTCTAAAAGCTGTTTGTATGTGCAATGGAACACAGTAAAGAAACTCCAAGTATTGTCAGAGAATAAAAAAATATCTAGGACTTTCTAACAGCTAATCCTTTACAGTTCGTGATAGTCACATTTTTTACTTTTCATTACAGTGAAAAAATAAATATACATCAAGTAAGTTTTTTTATATGAAAGGTACTAACACATACTGTATTACGTAAAAATTAACTCATTGGTTTCATATACTGAAGACACATAGGTTTTCTACATCAGCCACAAAGGTATTTTGTCATACGGGTTCTTCTTGCGAGGGCACAAATAGCACGAATTAGTAGCGTACATGAAAATTACCCATTACTTCGCCTTATATGATCTTCTACTAATTGTTTGCTAATATTTTAGCAAAAGCAGATTTTCTTGAATTTTTGAATTGTTTTTGTAACTTCGGTGCAGTATGTATGCATTTACAATAGCAATATCTATTATACAAAAGAAAACAGCAAGAGTCCATCTGTCCAGGAGTTCTTTGACTATAGGAACTTCTAGCACATTTTTCATCCATGCAGTCTACACCTCCTTTGTTGGCATTATAATATGAAATTATTTCTGGTTTTTCTATTGAAGAATCATTACAAGCTCTATCATGCATTGATGATATTAAAATTGTAATTTTGTTTTTTTCTGGCCACATAAGATACCATTGTACACTCTTCTCTAAATCCATAAACACTGGAACCAGGTTCTCTGGTTTTATTGGCCAAAAATGACGGAGGTATTTCACGTTTGTTCTTTTTTAAAGTTCCTACATACGTAAGATTATTTTTCTGCAAAACATCTATTAGCTCTAATAACGAAAACCAGTTGTCCGCAGTTATGTTTCTGTTGCTGCCAATTAAAGGTTTAGTTAACTGCAAGATTGCTTGTGTTGGTTTTGAGTATTTTTTTCTTCGAGTAAAAGACTTAAGCTGTCCGAGTCTTTGCCACAGTATATATACCTGTTATAGAAATAGCTGGTTCTTGCATCTGTAAGATCCATTATTTTAATGCCATACTTCCCTTAAAACTGACAAGCATTTCATCAACAGTTGCCTATTGACCTAGACCATATGCGTTTTGACAATTTTCAATAAAAGAATTGAATATATAAGAAACTGCTGCTACTGGATCATGTTTTTTCTTTTTTCTTGATCATCTGGATGATTAAAACGAAGAGCTGATAAAATGACTGCAAAACGCTTTTGATTCATGACAGTTCTAAAAATTTCCCTGTCAGTTCCATCTGTTGCAAAAAGCATTTTTATATTCTCATGGTTCGATTTGAATACCACAGAATATACGAGGAGTCCTATGAAAGCTTTCATCTCTGTTATGTCAATATCCTTGAGATCATGTTTATTCGGATCATTATACTTTATTTTCATTAAACTCAATTTATGATTGGTCCACTGAATAACACATAATAACATATTTTCGTCAAACGATAACTGCCATACCTTAAGAGGATCATTTTCCTCTCCAAGACTTCATTCTTTTGTTTTTAGGACAGGCATTTTTGTTACTAAATTATGTTTCCTTGTACGAACTTCAGATTTACACCACTTGAATCGGGTTTCCGTAGAAATATATTTGATTATTAGTCTTTTTTTCTATATTTTCTTCCGAAATATTTTCTTCATCACTTTCCGTAGAAATGTCTGAAAGCCGTCTGGCTATCAGATCCCAAATAAACATCGTCATTGATCAAGTACAAGATCACCATCACTAGCATCACTAATTCGTCAAACCACTTCAAAGCTGTATCTTCAAAATCAGCATCGGTAAAACGGATTTTTTTGATGGCACCGGCCATGATTGTAACAAATACGCGACGTTTTCAATGAAACAAAATGTAACCTGAACCGAAACGTGCCGTCTAACAGGCTAACTAAAACTGATTTTCAGTTATAACTTTTCCAAATATGCATATTTCTTAACCTAAGTGGGGTCACTAATAGTCAAGGAATAATATAAAGAATAGATGAAGTGATGTGCCAATGGGCGGAGTTATTTGTACAGAGTGTTAAAAATTCTTTATGCTGTAGTCTGTCAGACGGCACGTCTCCAGTGAAACTTTGAGTCTTTATTTCACATGTGTAATAATATAATATTAACATCAAATAAGATATTTTTTATTTTTATATCACTTTATAGGACTTAGCTTAATAATTATTGCACAGACCATCATTATTGAAATTTTAGAGATAAGAAACAAATAACACTTGTCTAGGGAGGTGATAACTGATAAATTGTTAGAGAAAGAAGAAAAAATATTGTGGGTAATATAATTGCCCAATAACTAGTATCATATGGTGATACCAACTCAAGAGAACCACTCACTTGGTACATTGTGTTAGAGTTTCAGGATCAGTTTTCATTCCTTTTTATTCTTTTCCTTGGATTTTGATTTCCTCGGTACATAATAATATACAGTTGAACTGTAACACTGGCCATGTTACTTTCATTGTATATGGTAGACTCAAAAGAATAATGGCAGACTATCCTTTTATATTCTTGAGCTGCATTAGTGGTATAAAGGGATGATGACTAGGTGACCTGAAATGTTAAAGCATCTCTCATTAATATTTTTTATTCATCTGGATGCCATGAAAATGACTGCTTTCCACATGGTCTTGTAGTATCACTAGTAATGAAAATAATAGGTATCATATGGATATGGATACTTTCCATTCTCCATTGTTTCATTATTTATATCTCAAGATCTCTATATTTGTTCATCTTATATTTGTTCATCTTGATGATCTTGTTGAATTTAGTTTATTATTTATTATGACATCTGGTTTATTATGTACCACTGTTGGTTTGTGAGCATAGTACAGTGTCAATATAGCTTATAGTAGTAAGTTTCAAGTAAGATATTAATATATCGGATATATTTATAATAAGGAAGATGGTCAGTTTGAAAAAATCCCAATTTGTTTGGCTAGTTTTTTATGAAGTAGTTTTCCTACTGAATAATGTGGTTCTCAATATATTCAGTTCTGATAAATGTCTGGCAACCCCCGTAATATGAATAAGTATTAAGTATTTATTGTTAGTTAATTTGTTTTACAAAGTTCACTATTCTATTTGTCTATGCTTTCTCAGTGTGCAAATATTTCCTGGATTGGAAATGCCCTATAAAAATAAAATTATTAATCCATTTAAATAATTTTTTTAATAATATCTAACAAAATCATAAAGTTTTTTTATTTTTCAATATCTCAAGTGTTTTCAATATCTTCAGTATTTCAAGTGAAGGTTTTTTGATTTTCTGTTCTCTTGTTTAGTTTTGGAATGCATGTATTTCGTATTTAAAATCACTCTACTACCCCGTGAGATGTACAGCTGGTTTCTAAAATAACTGATACAACTCTTAAAGCATATTTTGTAGAAAATTTAGCAGTGTATTTTGAAGGATACTCATTATTTACATACTGTCACTGTCAAATCTTAAAATTTGTCAGTTAACTTATTCTGTTCAACCTCAAAAATGACTCCACATGCTAGCAAATAACTAAAAGGCATTGTAACGAAATTAAAAGATGGTTGGTCGGTCACTATCTGCCTTTGTGAGCCATTTTAATGTAAGCAGAACAAAAGTTTTTAATACTAATAAAAGATGGAAAGAACAAGAAACTCTTGAAAGAAGCAAGGTTCTGGAAGATCAAAAATATCTACCGCTCATTAAGATCGTACGCTTTTGGAGAGATAAGAAGAGAATCCTTTTGAAGATGCGAAAGCTGCAAGAATTATGTCACAGTTTCCGGGAAGAAAGACAACTTGGCGCAGAATTAAAGCATCACATCTTAGGTACCAAACTGCAGCAAAAAACAAGCTACAGAAGCAATCAAGACTTATATTTGCTTTAAACCATCAGGGTAATATTTACAGATGAGAAAATTTTTAAATCTTGAGGTATATAGACCAGATAATAACATATTTAATCCTCTATATGTTGTCAGTTGGTCATTTTAGTGCCAATGTATGGGGGTGGATTTCATCTAGAGGAATGGCAATGATATGGCATACTGATTGCAGGTTTGTGGGCAGACTTATCTGAATATTCTAGAAAATATCATGTTTCCCAGTGTAGAATAGTTGTATATAGAAAATAATTTGATCCTCCAACAAGATAATTGTCATGTTCACACTGCTAATATAATAAACCAGTGGCTTCAGAATAACAACATCGAAACATAACCATGGCCCAGCTACAGTCCAGATTTAAACCCAATCGAGAATGTGTATGAGGTTATTATAAAACGGTTGTAACGTCGTAATTTTATACCTCAAAATGATGAAGAGCTGTGGCACGGTATACAACAGGTTTGGGAAGAGCTCTCTGAAGAAGACAATTTCATAGTTCCTTTCACACAGATGGACAGTAGTCATCAATGCTGATGGAGATATTACAAAATATTAATTTTATTTTTATG